AAACAAGAGTAGATCCACTGCCTCCACAACAAACATGTCCTAGGCGCTTCCTTCGAAGTTGGAGTGCATCTGCCTAAGAGGCAAGGAACCAACAATCTGCATCCAAATAAGTTGATCTGTAAAACTGATGTGCACAGAACACTCAGGTTCTGGAAACAAGACTAAAGTTTAGCTGTAAGCTAACAACCAGATCTTTCCGCTGAAAAATACAGCCGGTGAACGGGAAGACTGGTTTAACGCAAAGTATAGGAACAATTGTTTTGATCACATCACCAAACAAGTGCCGATTGGTCTGCAAGTCAAATGGAGCTAACACCAAATAACTCTCTGCTGTTTGGTTAACTGGTGGTAAATTTCCGCGGAAAGTCCTCTCTTATCGTCCCTTTCTGGACGGTGGCATTCTGGGACGTACTAAGTTTTGCGTGTGTATCCGTTTTACATATCTGTGCATTCTGTTATTTACCTGCCTATCAGGCAGATGCACACTGACTTCAAAGAATAGCATTATTCTTACTCCCTGTTTTCCTCTTGGTACTTCTGAAGACAGTACTTTTTGTTTCCTCGCGTCACGGTGCCAGACAAGTGAAATTACTACCTACTTTATAACTTCTTGTGTTTCTCTAGGTGTCACACGAAAGATACAAAAATCAATGTTCACCCGAGAAAGTATATGTGTGTGTGTGTATGTATGTATGTATGTATATATATATATATATATATATATATATATATATATATATATATATATATATATATATATATATAACGATATTCCCCGCCCCCCCCCCAATCCCACCCCCTCCTCTAGATACCCAAAAGAGAAAGTACAACCCAGACTGATTGTCCCCTCACCCCCTTATCTACATACCTCACATGAGAAAGTACAACCCAGAATGATTGTTCCCTGATCACTCATCTAGATACCCCACAGGAGAAAGTACTGACTGACTGACTGTTTCCTAACCCTCTCCTCTAGATACCCCACAAGATAAAGTACAATCCAAAATGATTGTTCCGCCACCCCCTCATCTACATACCCCACAAGGGAAAGTACAACTGAGACCGACTGTTCCCCCACCCTCTCCTCTATATATCCCACAAGAGAAAGTACAATGCAGAATGATTGTTCCCCCACCCCCTCCTCTATATACACCCTAAGAAAAAGTAAAACCCAGAATGATTGTTCCCCCACCCCCCTCCTTTATATACATCCCAAGAGAAAGTACAACCCAGAATGATTGTTCCCCCACCCCCTCCTCTATATACCCCACAAGAGAAAGTAAAACCCAGAATGATTGTTCCCCCACCCCCTCCTCTATATACCCCACAAGGGAAAGTACAGCTGAGACCGACTGTTCCCCCACCCTCGTCTATATACACCACAAGAGAAAGTACAACCCAGAATGACTGTTCCCCCACCCTCGTCTATATACACCACAAAAGAAAGTACAACCCAGAATGATTGTTCCCCCACCCCCTCCTCTATATACCCCACAAGAGAAAGTACAACCCAGAATGATTGTTCCCCCACCCCCTCCTCTATATACCCCAAAAGGGAAAGTAAGCTGAGACCGACTGTTCCCCCACCCCCTCCTCTATATTCCCCACAAGATATAGTACAACCCAGACTGGCTGTTCCCTACCCCCTCCTCTAGATACCCCACAAGAGAAAGTACAACCTAGACTGATTGTTTCCCACTCTAACCTCTAGATAACCCACAAGCGGAAGTACAGCTCAGACCGACTGTTCCCCCACCTCTCCTCTGGATACCCCCACAAGAGAAAGACCAACTCTATATCTCTCTGCTTCCTCCAGGTGCCACACCGGAGTCCGCCTACATGACAGGGCCACGCCAGGCAGTTCAATTCACACAGTTACCAACAATCGGTACAATGCAGAACCAGTACAAAACATACGACACCTACCCAGCACCTTCGCCGATGAGGAGGTCATTGACTACCCTGCCCTGGAGACCCAGCACATACTACCAGTCAGCTAAGGTATTGGCATTGACGCCATAACAACTTCGTTCCCTAGGCTGGCCCAATCTAGATCTTTCATACTACTGAATGTCATCTGAGATTTTTCCACGTTGAATTCACATTTGAAAAGTGGCTGTTTGAGTCTCAGGGTATTGATCTCTAAAATCAGTCTCTCTCCACTGTTATGGTTCTGACCTCCAAGACGAAAATGATACCTCATTTACTGCCACAAAATCGTGCCCGGTCACTTCATTCGAAGTTTTGATGTTTTCTCTGAGGGATCAGTATTTAGCTTACCTTTATTTATTTTTTATTTATTTTGTTTAAACTTGTTCATGTTTTTCTCCCGACTTTAGTCGTTTACTTATCTGATTCGTTTCATAATATTGTCCTTCAGGTCCAAATCTTCTCATTTCAAGTATGACTGGTCTCCTATTGACCTTGGCTAGTAATACGCTTTTTTGTCTTGTCCGTTTATTCTTTTTAGTCATTTTGTGCTGTATTTAGTACTCCATTAAGAGTGACTTTGGTTAAAACGTTCGGTTGTATGTGTGTTTTTTTTTTACTCCACACTTTGGGCTTTACAGTGATTGTTTGTGTTGTACGTAGTACTTACTTACTTATCTCAGTTTTCTAAATTCCTCATGATCCTGCTTCTTTTTATTTATTTTTTCAACTTCCCGTAATCTTTTTTCCTCATTGATTTTAGTATGATATACCATCCTTTTATTATTAATTGAAAAGACTGGGAAATCAAGTTATTACAATAGACAAAGGACGTTGCGACGATTAAACTTCATCAGCAAAACTGCAACCTCTATCATGGTAAAATATACTCTCTTAATCCCCATTTGCTATACTCACATTTTTCAAACTTGTTAGAATGTTTATAAAAACGTACCGATGCTCCATCTACAATTTAAACAGACAAAGCGGCATCAGGCAAGAAAGAAGAAAGAAAGAACAGTCTGAAGAATCTGAAGACAACATTGGTTTTTTAGACTGTTTGACTTAACAGTTTCAGTAACAACTCGTTTACATTGAGAAACAAAGTGTACAAATTAAAAAAATATTTTAAAAATCTATATAAGGAACCTGAAGGATTCTTTTGAGAACTTTCGTTTGTATAAGAAACATGGAGCATTGCTTCATGAACATAGATTTACAGAAGTAACCTGAAGCACCATGCTGAAAATCGTCACATTCAACCATCATCCACAAAGGATGAGCTTTTGGTTATAATAGTGACTAGGTTATGTGCGCCATATAAAATGGCTTAGTATCGCTGGCCATCAAGTAGCCCCGAAAAGGTCTGTAGAATTGATGCGCTCAAATGAGACAGATCCAAATACTGTCCTAACCAGTGACAATGTCGTCTACCGCCCAGCTAGTGGGCGACCCATTCACCGATGCTGAAGAACTATGCTGAAGACATAGCTTTATAGAAGAAAGATATAGAACTAGGTTGAGGATCTGAATCTAGGGAATGATACTTGAATACTTGTGATGTTCTTTCTTAGCGAATATCGAATGTCAGACTTGGGGTTCTTTCAGCCTCCGATTTGAAATATATATTTATATATATATATATATTCAGTTATTTTTTCATGACTGTATACCATACCAGATTCATACTTTTTAATGTATTGTTTTAGCTAAACCCGTGCTCGGCAGTGACACGCAGCATGCCAGATCCAATGTCAGCGAGAACGCAGCTCTCAGAGTTGGACAGTCTGAAAGTCCCTCCGGTGTTCGCAGCAGCCAGAAATGCACTGTACACTCGCATTCACGCCAAACGACTGGATGGCATCCAACCAGGGCAACTACCTGGCTTCTGATCGCGTCAGAGGCGGCGCAGAAAGACTCAGGATGGAGAGTGTCCGCCTGTGTAGTGAGTACGACGACAAGACCAAGCGGGCCCAGGCTGAAGTTGGAAAACGGCTCGGAGAAAGGATAGGTAACTTCCTTTAAAACTCTATAGCTTGGAGAAAGGATAGGTAAAGTGCTTTAGCTCTATAACTTAGAGACCTGATAGGTAACGTGCTTTAACTCTATAGCTAGGAGCAAAAAATAGGTAAAGTGCTTTAACTCTGTCCGTACATAAAAGGAAAATGTAAGTAAAGGACCCTTTTCAGGCCTTCTGGTGTATTGAGCATATAGTGCTACATCTATATTTTGTAGACCCATCGGCACTCAGTGACAAATATAGTAAAAAAAATTTGGCTGGCCGCCTTGACTTCTCAGAACTTACCTGGCGGCCATTTAATGCTAGGTCGACCTAGGAGCTAGATCATTTATGAAAAAGTCTGGCTCTGATTGAATTTGAACCCACATGCTCCAAATTCGCATGCAAGCTTCTAGCCGCTACAACACGGGAGCTCCCAACTCTATCAGTCTAGTATGTTGTTGCTTTAATCCTTTCTATCCCAAGATGTTGCAGTTTTAGACATCTTGTGTTTGGGTACGAAAAGTAAAAGTAGAAACATCCCTGAACAGAAGTCACTAGAATAACCACGTGTGTAGAGTGCGTTACTATAAATGTTTTTTTAAATAAAACACGACAGGCTGAAATGCAACTTAGAGCCAATGGTACCTTATTAAAACCTCACTATTATTTGTCATATAAGAAAAATGTCTGGTTTGTTCTGTCCTTTCCTTAAATTCTGTTTTGTTTTCAGTTCGGTACGAGATTTACATGCAGTAATTTAGTTGTACTTGACTTTATTATTATTATCATCATCATCATTGTACGCTCTATCCACAGTTGGTATAAAGACCCTCAACCAAGTGACGCTAAACCATCCTGTTCTTTGCTATCGTTTCACCTCATCCCATATCATACGAAAATGTTTCACTGCATTCTCTAATTCTATTTTTTCGTGTTTTATTGGCAACCTTTATTCCTTTCTACCCTATGGTTCCAGTGGAAGAGCAATCCAGCTAAGTTACTGTCATGTCAGGTTTTTTCCCCCCAGCCGTGTTGATTCCAAGGCGAAGGCTGTATGTTAAATTACTATCAGGTTTTCTTACTCTGTCTTAATTCGCTGGAATTCGTTTGGCTCTGCCCAAAGCTCCAGATTAAATAATTATGTTCTATCATCAAAAGTTCTAATCAGTTTTGTAATAATTACTTTGGTTCTCTATGTTTCAGTTCCATGCAGTACTGATTTAACATGGAAGCTGTAGGTTCATTCATAAGCATCCACTTATCCAAAAGTAAGGCCGTTAGTGTAAATCGCTTTACATTAACTATAGCGTCTATTCCGCTCATAACACAGGCGATATCAATTTCTGGAAGACAGAACTGAATCACGAGATTGATTTGATGATCACTGAAACAAATGCTTTGAACGAGGCCAAACGAATTCTGGAGAAGAACCTGGCGGAGACAGAAAATCCACTGCATATATCACAGGAGTGTTTGTACAACAGGTCAGCCAGATGTCTCATAAACAGTTATCTGTGTGTGTGTGCGCGCGCATTGTCCGTTGTCCCAACCGATTAATCCTATTTTTAGGCCAGAAAAGTGTCTACTTACATCGAGTCTCATTCATTTATCATATTGTGTTTGTTGTGAATGTATGCTAAGTAAACTGTATGCATTGGAATCGTACAAGTCTGTTACATGCTATACACACTGCAATCACAAGATTATTTAATACTACACACACTGGAATTAGAGGAATTATTTAAATACTGTAGACATCGGAATCAGGGCATTATTTAAACACAGTGGAATCAATCTGTTTAAACCCAATTGTTTTAAAATAGGCGATGGCTAGATGACATTATTCACAAATATCAGAAAGAGACAGTAATGTTTTTTTAAGGGAGGGGTGGGGGAGTCATGTTATGAGAAGAAGGAAAACTGGAACATGTTGTGACCAATGGAAAGGTTTTTGTAAGAAAAACCAGAAAGAGGAAGACAACGCTAGAAAATTCGTGATCCTCTTTCGTTAAACATGGTGTGGTGTCAGGACACGAACTGATACGTACTGCTGAAGATCGCAGACGGAAGAGAAGCGTAATCACCTATGCCAGTCGGCAAGGCACTTGATGATGAGTCGGGGTATGGGTACTATATATATATATAACTTCGACCCATCGTATGCGCCAATTATTTTTGTTTCCTTTGCTGTATGTACTCCCTCTTCCCTATTAAATATTTATAGATGGTTTGCCTTCAAACGCAGTGCCGTTATAACGAAGGGCGCCGCTGTGGTGCAGCGGCTAGACGCTAGCTTGCGGGTCAGAAGGTCTTGGGTTCCGGTCCCGACAGAACCGGACTGTTTTCAAAAATGACCTTGGCTCCCAGGTCGACCCAGTCTTAAATGGGTATCAGGAAAAAATCCTGGGAAGTCAAGGCGACCGGCGTGATGTTGACCACATCAACCACCGAGTGGCCATTGCTTTATACATTAAGTCTAGTCCTAAATGCCCAACAGGCCTGAAGGAGTGGAAAAGGGCCCTATTATGTTAGGTAATGGTTGTAGCATGTAACGCTTCCAAACATTCAGTAGCAATATCTTCATGCATTGATCCGGTACTTGTATTTACAGAGAGAAGCGGCAGTCTATAGATTTGGTACATGACAACCCGGAGAAAGAACTCATTCGGGAGATTGACCTCATCAAACGTTGTCAGGAGAGGATGCGGAATACTATAGATAGGTGGGTGCAGAGAGATTTTACAAGACTTTTGTCTTTAGCTCTTGTGCGTCTTACAGTTTAACTACTGCTACTACTATTACTGCTGCTTTTTCACCACCACCAACACTACTACTACCACTGCTACCACCACCACCACCATTACTACTACTACTACTACTACCACTGCTACCACCACCACCACCATTACTACTACTGCTACTACTACTACTACTACTACTACTACTACTACTACTACTACTACTACTACTACTACTACTACTACTACTACCACCACCACTGCTACCACCACCACTGCTACTACTACTATTCGGTGGTCTCAATGGGTAATGGGTCAAGCCATTTACCTCGCAAACTGAAGGTCGTGGGTTCGTTTCACGGCTGTTTCGTTGAGTTCGTGAGTGCAGTTTTTACGGAGACTTCCGGATCATGGCCGATGCTAGAGAGTTCATGCTTTGTCTGATGCTCTCGGCAGACGGCTAGTCGTTCTGTGGAGAGAGCCCGCGCCATATGGGATAAAACCCAGTGCGATTAAGTCGATTCTCTTGACTTTCATTTTTTCCCCCCATTTTATGTGCTACTACTACTACTGCTGCTGCTGCTGCTACTACTACTACTACTACTACTACTACTACTACTACTACTACTACTACTACTACTACTACTACTACTACTACTACTACTACTACTACTACTGCTGCTGCTGCTGCTGCTGCTGCTGCTGCTGCTGCTGCTGCTACACACCAGCAAGGAAATCTTGCAGACCTTCTGTATCCGGGTCTTTCATGGTCGGTCATCCTCGCCTCTACTCCTCTTTCCCTCTACTGTGCCCTGTAGTATTGTTTTTGAGATGCTGTTAGATCTTATTACTTGTCTGTATTATTTGCGATTTCGCCTTTTCACTATCGTTAAAAGGTTCATATCTGCCAATGTGCTGAATAATTATATGGCCTACTTCGTAATTTTTAATGTGGTCTCTTTGTAATATACCGAGCATTTTTTTTTTTTTTAAAGATCGCATTTCCAATGAGTGTATCTTCATTTCGAGTTCAGCTGTTAAGATCCACGTTTCACAGCCATATGTCAGTCGGTCAGTAGCATGTCCTTTGCAGAACCTTGTTCCCATAACAACCCTCCGGAAAACTTCTCGATCACAAGCAAGATATACGGCGTCCGATACACCCATCTGGAGATCATCCGCCACATCCTGCACCCATCTTCTCTGCGTCCTTCCTCTTCCCTTCTTCATAGGCATATACCCCTCCATTATTGTTCTCTCTAAACTTTCGTGATATTTCAAGTGACCAGAATATTTCAATTTTCTGTGTTCTGTCGTCTTTAATAGCCAACCTTCTTAAGTATTTAGTTCTTGAAGTATGGATGCATTTGTATTTTCTTTACCCTTATTCTTTGAACCTGTCAATAAAATTTCTATTCAACAGCATGTATGCGCTTTTCAGCTTGTTTAGTTTCTAGTTCTCCTATGCGTATGTTGCAAGTGGAAAGAAGCATTCTCTTAGAAATCTAATTTTTGTAGTTCTGTCTGTCCCACTCTATAACTAATATTACTCCTTTATAACCGGATTGGGAACACATTCGTGAGGTTGACCTCATCCAGCTTGATCAGAAGAGGATGCAAAATACTTTAGACTGACACTTAATGCGACTGTTTTTTTTTTTAATTAGGCGAGGCTGCTGAAAGGGCCCGCAAGCTAGCTCTAGACACAACGGAACGTCGTGGGGGACGGGCCTCGGTGAGCTGGTCCGGGTATCTAGTGGAAAATAAAGTCTTATTCCTTAAAAGTCCATCGTGTCCGAATTGTCTGCCAGTGTCCCTCTGCCATTTGCCTACAAAGTCTAACATGTGTCCGATAAGCCAAACGTAAGCTTGCCACTTGGTCGTCCAGGTATGCTTACTGCTCTAATATGCTACCGCAGCGACTATAAATAAACCTCGAATCTCACAGTACCTGTTGCACAGTCACCAATTTCGTTTTGTACATGTTCCCCTGCGGAGTTTCTTCTTATTAGTTCTTGTATGCCTTAACCCCGTAAATGTATTTTTCCGACTTGCCTATAGTGACCTGTTTACGAGATATGTATAGTTAACGCAATGGGCTGAGTTCGCGTCTGAGCAAATGTTTAGAATGTCACGATACTAATAAATTAACTAACAACATTTCTAGTTTTCCTTTGTGCTAAATGGCTTCTATAAAGCTAAGATAAAGTCACATTGTCTCATAAGCCTCAGCGGTAAAGGTATAGGGGTCGGGGCTTGAGTCACCCAAGACGGGTGTGTGTTTTTTAGGCCCTAGGATGTATTCAACTGTTTGCATTAACCCCGTTCGTGCTTATTGATTACTCGTTTCATGTCTTTATACATTTTGGAAAAAAAAAAAAATATTGTTAAAAATCGGTAAATAAATTTTAAACAAATTTATTATTGACCTAAGTAAAAATTGTTGTCGTTTTAACGGACTTTTTCCGGAATCCTAACGGGGTCATAAAGCTTTTTTTTTTTTCAGAGAGTTCTCGGGGGAAAGGGTTAAAGGATGATACACAATATATAGAGCACACAGGTACAATAAGAATGACCAGTTAAGGAATCATACACGATAAACTTTTTGTTAGGTTATTTTATCACAATCGACGTACTGCACTTTGGACATCCCCATACGTGCTTAGTTCTTCTGCTGCAGCAGAATCTTGTCACAGGCATTAGTATACCATGAATATAAACATAATGAAGCAGATATTTGAATGATTTTAACTGAAATATCCGAATTACATTCTGTGTATGCGAGCGAAAGAATCACGTGGTTATTCTTTTATTTCCATGATGACACTTCCGTGAAAACAAATGTGATTCGATTGAAGATACAAAGATCCTGTGTGTGTGTGTGTGTGAGTGTGTGTGTGTGAGTGTGTGTGTGTGTTTTTTTTTTTTTTTATGTTGTATGGATGATGCTTATGTTTCCCAGGAACGGAGACCTATACCGGACGTAGCGCAGCTACGAGCAAGGTCTTCCAAGACGGACAGGCCAATGGGTAGAGTACATGCAAAGTGAGATGTTCTGGTCTTCCATGTTTGGGGTGTAAGCTTAGAACCGACGCAATAACCTATATATTACTTCATCTGCTCACGAAACAGACATTTAAGCCTCGAAATGGAGAAAAAAAAACAGGTACTTAGAAGAATGGAGATGGGTGACATCAGCAGAATGAACATCAAGGACGCGGACATGTTAATCAAGAAAAAGAAATTTATATGCTGTGCTTTTGTTGTTGTTGTTGTTGTTGTGTGTGAGTGTGTGTTGTTTTTTTTTTTTTTTTTTTTTTTAATTAGTTCTTCAAAGTGGTTTCTTCAATTATCTTGATCAGAGCCAACGTGCAGCTGGGACTCAACAGGGCTGCTCAACACGAACTGGAGAGAGATGCCGGCGATAAGTTCATTGCCGAAAATCTGGATACTACCAGCCATTTGCTGAGGAATACTAGTAGAGGTATTGCCTATCATGATGGAGTCCACAGGATCAACAACACCATCAGCGTGCCTGAAACTTGGGCTAAGTTGGTAGCTTATTCTAATTTATAGTTGTTTGACGTGCCACATCGTTTTTTTTTTTATTTTATTTTTATTTTATTTCTTTACTATACCCACATCTGTGTCTTTTGTTATGTTTTAATTATGTTACACAGTGAGACAGTATGCTTTTCCTTACTAGTTTATTGTTGGATAGTGAGCTTTTTGTCATTTAGTATTACACATACCACTAATGTCTACTACACAGTTCAATAGGAATAAACTCACAGGGAGCAAGTACAGCAGGGATCTACTAGTCATCAGTAGAAATTATCCTCGTCGACACGCGTTTCGGCCCACGATTCCTAGACGCATTCGGAGGTGGGCCCACCTGAGTTCATGAAGCTCAGGGCTGGTTCCCTGTTGCACGGGATTACCGGATGGTGTTTTTTTCTTTCGGCAGAGACAAACGACTTAGTGTTTTCGCAGAAGGTACTGTGAGATAGAAGCCGCGGCAGCCTAATAAAGCAGTCAGCCTTGCCTGGACGACAGAGCGACAAGCTTACGATTGGTTTACACGGAGAATGTTGGACTTTTTATTTAGCAGGTGGCAGAGGATCAACTTGGCAGACAATTCGGACACGATTACTTTCAATTAGAAACCCTTTTTCCACTTGACAACGACCGGACCAGCTCACGGGGGGGGAGGGCCCGTCCCCTACGTTGTTTGCGTTGCGTCACAACCCATAGCTAGAGCCCTTTCGGACCTCTCCCAGTTTTTGAGTGTTCGTTTCCGTTCATTACCGCGCATCCAGTTCTTTAAAACCACATTGGAGAGCGAAGGGGGATACGAGGCCATATCGCTTACTTCGACGGCAAAGACCCGTAACTGTGTACGCCTCGTTTTTCCTCATACCGGCTGCTAAATCAACTGTACTTCTCGAGCTTGTAGAAATGATTCTCCTCCATACGCGACTCAAACGGGACAGTCAACTCAATCAGGATGGATACCGTTTTTGCGAAGAGTGGAGAACTATGTCCGGTCGCAGGCCGGTCTTACGGATCAACTCGGGGTACCGTTCATGGGCCTGCAAGATCAACCGCCAGTAACCAGTCCCTCCGCAGAGTCTAGAGCACAGATGGAGCGAATGCGTTTTGGTTTGACCTTACCTTTTGGAACCTGCCCAGCCTTGAGGGAAACGATTGGGGGACGATACTAGAACTGCTCTGGCGTTAGCCCTCATTCTAGGCCTGGTCACAACGGCTGCTAACTCTTTAGCACCTTGTTGTGTCGCCAGGTGTATCGGCCTTGACCTAGGGCTTTCCTGCACGCGGACAGGACGTGCTCAAGAGTTTGCTTCGATTTACACAACGGGCAAGTCGGATCGTTAGTCAGTTCAAAACTGTACCATCAGCCATTGTTTCTTCTCAAAGCTAGAGCTGTAACTATCTACAGTATTAATTACTTAGCTGAGGCAGGAAATCAGATAGTTTAGTCATCTCCTTAGAGTGCAACCATAACCTGTTGGGACACAGGCCCTACATCTGAAAAGATATGAGACCAGAACAAGGGGGTGCCGAAAGAAGCAGACTAATTAATTTAATTAAAGCCATAATACCTGCTCACTGGATGATAATATTCCTGAGGATTGCTGGTCACGTGACTGGTGCGGTCATCATAGACTGTGCAGGCTAGACAATTTATTTGTGTCCCTTTTTTAACCATACCCATGACTTCTTCTTCTTCTTCGCGTTCACATGCTGTAAACTCCAGTGGACATTTTTGTTTGTTCGATGACTTCTGGAATTAAGCCCTATCTCTTGCCCTTGATGTACATTCACTTATACTGCTGTTCGTCCATCTCTTGATGTTATCCTCTCACTTGTAAAGCTGTCTGCCTTTTGCTCGCCTACCTTGAACCTTTCCCTCTAGGATGATCTTTACAATACTGTTATGTCTTTTAATGTGGCCAAAATATTTCACTTGTCTATTTTTTATTTCACCTAGCAACTCTCTTTTCATCCCCAATTTCCTCAGTACCTCTGTATTTGATAGCTTTTGTTTCCATGAAATACGACCTAATCTTCTGTATATCCACATCTCCAAAGAATTGATCCGATTTTCCAGTTGTTTGTTCATTGTCCGTGTCTCTGTGCCATACAGTAAGGTTGAGAATACATAACATTTGACAATTCTCATTTTTAATGTATTGCTTATTTCTCTTGATGTCAGTAACTTTTGCGTGTTGTTGAAAATGTTTTTGGCCATCCCTATTCTTTTCTTGACTTCTGTTTCACTTCTGCTGTCACATGTTATTACTTGTCCAAGATATAAGAAATTTTTAACGTGTTCTAATTTCACCCCGTTCACTGTAATATTCATTGTTAGCTGATTATTTTCTATGCTAAATATCATGGTTTTTGTCTTTTTCAAATGTATATCTAATCCAAATTCTGCACTTCTTCTGTTTACTTGCTCCACTAGGTCTTGCAACTCCTGCTCATTCTCTGTTAGCAACACTGTGTCGTCAGCATATCTCAGATTGTTTATTATTCTGCCATTGATGTTCAGTCCTGGTAATTCTACAATTTCTTTAAAAATGGTTTCTGTACATAAGTTGAAAAGGCTAGGCGACAGCACACATCCTTGTCTTACTCCTCTATCATTAGAATACAGAATGTAGATGCTGATAGTAACGCTGGGATTGAGAAAGCATAATAAAGTATAAACGATTTTTGTATTGTCATTCTGTGTTTGTGAAATGCTATTGTTGAAATTCTCCCAATTCGACCCAGCATAAAATGTGTACCAGGAAATATCCTGTGAAGTAAACGCAGGTGTTATATTGATTACATCGACCAACAAGAGGTGATTGAATGAAAAAACGCTTAATACTTGTCATAATCGCGGCGTTACTAGCGCGTATAAATAAACAGTTATGTCTGAAACCGTATCTTTTGTAATCACTATTTTAGTAAACGTTTGAAGAAAACAGCCAACTTTTCATGGTTGTGCATTACACTGATACCTCGACTAACGAACTTAATTGTTTCTGACTGTGGTTCGTATCTCAAAAAGTTCGTATCTCGAAATCCAATTTTCCATTATATCTCACCGAAAATCAGTTAATCTGTTCTCAGATTTTTTTAAGATCAAATAAGAAAAACAACAATTAAAAGATTGCAAAGATATGGATAAAGGATTAGGAGCAACCTAATAGAAATGGAAACCATCTTGTACAATCCATTAGAAAAAGCTCACAAACGATCCTTACACCCCCCGCTCCCCCACCCACACACATACACACACACACACACACACCTCGCAAAGGTAAATTGTGGAAGCGAAGAAGAAGAAGAGAAGAAGAAGAAGCTTTCTTGAGAACTGTAGCCATGGGGACTTGGCGTTATACTGCTTGCACACATCAGTTTGCCTGACTCCATTCTCCTATTTTCCCAAAACATGTTGATTAATTTCTATTGTGATTTTATTATTCTATTCTTTCTTGGTTTTCTTTGACCCCATGTTGGAAACAATACGCGATTTTTAAATAATAATTTGAAATGTTTCTCCGTAACGCCTAATGCAAGTATACAAACTGATTGTATTCTTGTAATGTAAATTTTCACCTTCCGATCCTTATTTGTAATCCAAAATGGCTACTGGTAATCTTGTAATGTTGGGGGTGCCCGTTGTATATTGTTAAAAAAAAAAAAAAAAATGAATCCATTGTTGCCAGATAACACATTTTCTACAGCATTGGAGATATGACTTCATTTTGAGTCCAACAGGAAAACTGGGAATTTTAATTTAATTCAAACACTTGTTGTTGCTCTTCTTCTTCAGCATTCTGAACCCTTGAAGTTCACTGATGCAGATATCCCTGCCCAACTCATCTCTATGTCTGTTTATTTATATATATACAATAACCAGACAATGTACTGATTGGCACTTATAGAAAGAAGTTTTTTTATTTATCTATGTGACTGGCCTTTCTTCCACGTGTTTGTTGGGGTGCTTGGATATTATCTCTCAAAACACTTTTCCTGGTCTGTCTTGTGGCCTAGGGCCATTCAACTTTCTTGTTACAAAAATACCGAAACAGATGCAGATAGATGCGAATTAGTAACAAACACTCGAGCATGCGCTGTTGATCACGGTTCGTATACTCGAATAAATAGAGGTCGTATATAGAGGTCAAAATAGGATGTGAACAAAAGTCGTATCTTTAAAAAAAAAAGTTCATTTGTAGAGTGGTTCCAGCCGGCCAGCGTTTGTAAAAATTTTACTTTTACATTGATTTTTTTTTCCCTCACAAATCACGTTAAATAATCAGATAATTCGTGTTGTAAAGGCCACATTAACAACGCACATTCTATAAACACAGAATGAGGTAATGCCGTATGCATTGTTTTAACAAAGCACCGTTTAATAATCATATATTTCGTTCATGTTGTTGTATTAATTAAAAAATTAGGTAATTTGTGTATGTTGTATTCACTTTCTTAACAAACACTCTAAATAATCAGGTACTCAAATGACAACATACAGAGGTCTCAGGCCGAACGGCTGGCATCCAAAAACATGCGGAATGAAATAGAAAGTGTTATCAACACTTGTAACAACGAAATGTGGATGGTAAGTCGCCGTTTGGGGTCTTCTCGGATGGTTGAATATGTTTGAGTTATTCTATCTAGATCGTTCAAATGGGAAGGAGAAGAACTGGGATACGCCAAAGGAAGGTGGAATGGCAATACTAATGGTATTTATTACTATTTTTTTTTACGAGCTTGCGTTTTGCATGCACATCATATTGTGATAGAAGTGGCTTACAGATGTGGCTTATTTGAATGTGTTCCTCGGCTCTCAGGCAGAAGCACTCCGGCGTAATATTGTTATTATTATTATTATTACTATTATTATTATTATCATTATTATTATTATTATTATTATTATTATTATTATTATTATTATTATTATTATTATGCCACTGTAAACGAAAGCGAAATCACCATTGGTGGCGCCACATTTCAAGATGTCGCCAAACTGTTTTACTAACGCGACCAGAACTGTTCCCTTTTTGCTTGACATCACAGTGACCAGAAAAGTTCTATTCCACGTAATAGGCCACCAAAAACAAATTCACGATTCTCAGTTCAACTTTGCAGGTGGTTATAATTAGGGATGGGAGTCGAGGTGGCGAGCGGCTAGACGCTCGTCGCGGATCGGAAGGTCGTGGGTTCGCTTCCTGGCGTAGCCAGACTTTTTTTTAAATGACCTTGGCTCCCAGGTCGACCCAGCCTTGAGCGGGTACCGGGTGCAGTCCCGGGAAAGTAAAGGCGGCCGGCGTGATGCTGACCACATCACCCATCTTGTGCCGATTGGTCTATAAAAATATAGATCTAGCCCTATATGCCCTATATGCCTAAAGGCGTGGAAAGGGGTGCTTTACTTTTTTTTTTACTCTATAATTATTGATTCTTCAACTCTTCAGTAATGTAGTTAAAGAAAAAGGAATGGATTAGAGATACAGTAAAACATTGGTATACGTCCATAATAGAGAAGTTGAGGATGCATTCCATCACATGAAGAATGGAAAGGTATCTGATCCAGACAAGACAACATCGCACTAGAAGAAATTGAAGCTTTAGGATATTGTGGGTTTGAAATAATATGGTACATTCCTAATTATATGTATATGGGCCGCGTTAGCGCCGTCGATACGAGACTCACGTTTAAATCTAGCTGCGACTCGCTGTAGCCCACGGCCGGTGTTCGAAACTTGGCTGATACCAGGGTTCACCCAGCCTCTAGGAAATGGGTACCAGAGTTAACGCTCTGGGGTTAATGGAGGAACGTCGCTGTAGCTACAGAGTTTCGTGGGGACAGCGACACAGGCGGATAGTTTCTTATCAGCTGTCCGTATTGGTGGCAGAGCACTTATGGTTTGTAACCGTGTGCAATGACGCTAGTTCACATTTCCCGACATTATCATACATATATATATATATATATATATAATATATATATATATATATATATATATATATATATATATATATATATATATATATATTGCTCTACCAAAGAAACCAGGCTCTTTAAAATATGAAGACTATGGCACCATACGTCTTTTCAGTCATGTGACAAAAAATGTTACTGAGAATAGTTATGAGAAGAATAAGAAACAAGATTAAACCAGAAATTAGTGAAGAACAGTGTGGATTTGTAGAAGGAGTGTTGCAAATATACCATGAATATATAATGAGATTTGTCATGGAGGTGCCATAAATTGTGGTTAGTGGTCATAACGTAAGCAACTTATCTGGTGCTGATAACACTGTCTTGATAGCGACCAGTCAGAAAGAACTACAGGAATTGATAGATACGGTGGTGGTAGAAAGTGATAAAATGGAATTGATAGATACGGTGGTGGTAGAAAGTGATACAATGGAATTGATAGATATGTGGGTGGTAGAAAGTGATAAAATGGAATTGATAGATACGGTGGTGGTAGAAAGTGATAAAATTGAATTAATATTTACGGTGGTGGTAGAAAGTGATAAAATGGAACTGATAGATGCGGTGGTGGTAGAAAGTGATAAAATGGATTTGATAGATACGTGGTAGTAGAAAGTGATAAAATGGAACTGATAGATACGGTGGTGGTAGAAAGTGATAAAATGGAACTGATAGATTCGGTGGTGGTAGAAAGTGATAAAATGGAACTGATAGATTCGATGGTGGTAGAAAGTGATAAAATGAAACTGATAGATACGGTGGTGGTAGAAAGTGATAAAATGGAACTGATAGATTCGGTGGTGGTAGAAAGTGATAAAATGGAACTGATAGATTCGGTGGTGGTAGAAAGTGATAAAATGGAACTGATAGATTCGGTGGTGGTAGAAAGTGATAAAATGGAACTGATAGATCCGGTGGTGGTAGAAAGTGATAAAATGGAACTGATAGATGCGATGGTGGTAGAAAGTGATAAAATGAAACTGATAGATGCGATGGTGGTAGAAAGTGATAAAATGGAACTGATAGATGCGATGGTGGTAGAAAGTGATAAAATGGAACTGATAGATATGGTGGTGGTAGAAAGTGATAAAATGGAACTGATAGATATGGTGGTGGTAGAAAGTGATAAAATGGAACTGATAGATACGGTGGTGGTAGAAAGTGATAAAATGGAACTGATAGATATGGTGGTGGTAGAAAGTGATACAATGGGCCTTAGTTTGAATAATGCGAAGACAGGAGTTATAGTGATTTCCAAGAAAAGAATAGAGCCTAAATGCATAATAAAAGTCAAATACATCATTTAGAGACAACGTACAGAAATTTAAGTATCTAGGCACATGGATAACATCCGACGGAAGATGTAGTCACAGAGATAAAGAACAGAAACGGACAAGCCAAAACTGGCCTTTTATAAAATGAAGAACATTTTGTGCAATAAATCCATGTCACTGGAAGGTTGAGAAAAGAATTATGGCATGCTATAAAGAGCCATGTTTAACATATTTGCTGTGAATCCTGGACAATAATAAACAAGCCGATCAATATCTTGAAGCCTCGGAAATGTAGATTTACAGAAGAATCCTTAGAATTCCTAGACAGCTAAGAAGAGCAACCCAGATGTTTTGAAAAAGGAGAGTGCTCGAACACAACTTATCACAAACATCAGGAAGAGTCAGTCATCAATTTTTTGGGCTATGTTATGAGCAGAGGGAAACTGGAACATCATCAGAAGCAGGTCCTTTACAGAAGGATGGCTCTCGCCACCGCAAGCTCACAAGACCCTGTTACTGGCCACCTCTTCTGCCTCCTGCATTTGTGAAGGTGTCTCTGATAACCTGTGCCTACCTTCGTGCATTCGGTCCCTGCCTCTCTTTCTCAGTACCATGCCTTCTGCTGCTGTTTTTTAAATTCACCATGATGCTTGATGTGACCAAAATATTTCTGAACAAGATGCTGTTTACGAGCCAATCTTCATTGGTGTTCAATTTTTTTTTTTTTTTTTTTTTTTTTTTTTTTTTTGGATGTCACTATTGCCTTTTTTGCCAATGGTGCATGATATTCTGAGAATCTTTCTATGGCATTTCAGCTCAAAAGTCTCTATTTTCTTCCTTAATGATTGCGAGAGAATCGACGACTCACAGACGCACGCTGCTACAGGAAAAAGATGCACACTATCAAAATTGTGACTGATTTTCTTGCTAGTGACTTTTTTCATGTCGTTTGCGTTTACAAATGAAGCTATTTACATGATAAGGTAGCCAATCAGGAGACTACCCCTATTCTCTGTCGTCTCTCACCACATGCTCAAATGAGTACAGTGATGCTATTCGCTGTTTGCCCTAATGACTCTGTTGTACACTTAATTTATTGTACACTCTGTTGTAGTACACTGTAATTTCAAGAACCAAGTATTTAGGCCTAGGGTGCCTATTCTAGTATTCCGCTGGATATCTCCCTGATGGATGTGCTACAGTGAAGTCCTGCATACTATAACTGGCCCATTTGGCCCAGCATCATGTAATACAGTTGCTATCTTTACAAGTCAACAATAACGCTTGTGACAGGCCACATAAACTTTAATGGCATTAAAGTTACACGTCACAAGATGATGATGATTATTCAATAAAACGTACGATAATAACTCTCTATTATCTACTCTGAGAATATAAAAGAATTACACTCTTTTCTCAATGGACTCCTGCCATTATAATAAATAAATAGACATTAAACTGTCTCCTGTAAATACGGTTAATCAAAACGTCACAAAGAGGAACGTCTGACTCGGACAAGGGAAATATCTTGACTGCCGAATCCTTTGTGTTCTGCAGGAGCCTTTGTGTTAATCGCCCAGAATTCAATTAGCTCGTATCCCAGGTAACGACCCGACCCGTGGCCGCTGTGGGAACCTTTCACCTGCGCTGTGACCACTAGAAGAAAACTAGGAGAAACTTTAACTCTTGGACAATAAGATTACAACAGACTCTAGTATCGGCATTTAGTCGTAAAAACATATTTTCTTCAACAGCAATGGAATGCCGCCAATACTGCTTTGAACAATCGCGTTCAGGAAACGACAGATGCCAGAAACAAGATACAGGCACATCTCAACAAAACGCTCCAAGAGGTTTATGAAATGGAAAAGAACATTGAACTTTTGAAGAAGTCCATTCATGACAAAGAAGCGCCCATGCAGGTAGGAACTAGGTCTTGGACGATTTTAGGATTCTGTTTATGGTTGCGTGTGTGTGTTCGTGTGCGCACGCGTGTATGCGGAAGATAGAGAGAGCGAAAAAGAAAGAAAGAGCGAGAGAGAGGGAGAGAGAGACTTCAAAGTCCGAGATCTGTGGAGATTTGAACGCATGAGCCATCTGACAAGGAGCATCACGGGGATAATATTGTCTGTTTGTGTGCCTGTCTGTCTTTCTTTGTCTTACTGTGCGTCGATCTATTCGTCTAGAACCCTAGATCTGTCTGGTTTTTACAACCTTCGGCCGATTCTCTCATCGCATGTTTTTGTCAGCACTATGTTTCAGCAGGATTATTCCGCCACTGACAAACATGCGACGTCCGTCACTTAGACGTTGCGAGTCCGACTCATAATTTCAACGTACCGCCATCGAAACCCACTGCTGGCTGCATGGATTTTTACCATGATATTGATATGGTGCGCGGCGTTTGTGGCTTAGGCGTTGCGAGTCCGTCTCGTAATCCAACGTACCGCGATCGAAACCCATTGTGGGCTGCGTGGATTTTTATCCTGGGATGGGACGTCGCAGGTCGACCCAGCCTCAAATGGGTACCAGGATGGCTGTCCTGGGGAAGTAGAGACGGCCGGCGTAATGCTGACCACATTACCCACCGAGTGCCGATTGGTCTGTAAAAATATGGCTGTTTTTCCCATATACCCGATGCTCCCTAACGTCTTTATGTTTTTACTTACTGATAAACATCTAAAAGATGAACCAGCAGGTGCCTGATCAAACAGATCCTCACTAACCACTAGTCAGAATACTCGTAATAATAAAACGTATTCTTGTTAATGTTTGTTTAACGGATCAACATCATGACACAAGGACAGTAACTCATAAGAGCTCCTTTCTACTTCTCACTCAAACCTGAGTCTGAAGCATCTTCTTCTTCTTTTTCTTCTTCTTCTTCTATTTCTGCTTCTCCTCCTCCTCCTCCTCCACCTCCTTCTTCTTCTTCTTTTTCTTCTTCTTCTTCTTCTTCTGCTTCTTCTTCTTCTTCTTCTTCTATTTCTTCTTCTTCTTCCTATTCTCCTTCTTCTGCTTCTGCTTCTTCTTCTTTTTCTTCTTTTTTTTCTTCCTCTCCTTCTTCTTTTGCTTTATCATCATCATCATCATCATCATTAGCCCTTAGATGGGCTGTAGGCATGTTGTTTTAAGGTTTACAGCTATTTAACGATTTTTGTTAATATCCATAAATCATGAGTTGTTAACGTTTTGGCTCGGTACTATGGATATCGCAACCCTTCGGCCTTGATTCTGTGATAGATATCGTAAATCTTATTTGCTTTCAGCAAAGCCCTAATTTCTTTATGAAGCAGTGTCTATTCTATATCAATTCCAGAACAAGGCGCCAAAATACGTGATTTTTACTACCAATTGGGTGATTTATGAAAATTATTATTTTCAGTGAAAAGAATGAAGTAATCCACGAGAGCCCCAGATTGTGGTCTGGTCTGATAGCATTGGTGTGTGACCTCACTCAAACTAGGTCTAACAAAATGTGTAGGAAAGAGTTCAAGATCATGAATAAATAATACAAGCGATAACGCATTCTATCTCAGTGACAGACTAATTAATTTTGCCTGTTCATTAGTGCCTTTAATCGGTCAATCAGCATGTCCCTTACAGAACGCTGCTCTCGTCACGACTCGCCTAAGAAGTCTTTCTCCAGCAAAATATCCAGTCCTTCATGCTTCTATAGCCCATGTATCTTCAATGTCCTGTATTCACATTTGCCGAGGTTTATCTTTGCATTTTTTATTCAAAAACTATGCCATCCACCACAGCTCTATCTAGGCCACCATGACGTTCAACTTGGCTAAAATAACCCAGCTTTCGAGACAAGATGCTGTCTTTGTACCAGTTCTCCTCAATGCTCACAATATCTTCTTCATCTTCTTCTTTTTCTTCTTCTTCTTCTTCTCCTTCTTCTTCTTCTACTTCTTCTTCTTCTCCTTTGTTCACTGGCTTTAAGCTCTAGCGGAAAGTTATGGTTGTTCGTCCATTTGGACTTTGGCTTATTTGTATGCAGTTAATTGTTTCTTGTCGCTCGGGCAGATGCAATCCGACTTCGAAGTAGGTCTTCAATTAGTCTTCTCCTACGACATGCTTGTTGGAGAGGCAGTGGGTCTATTTTTGTTTTCATCACAATGGGGACCCGAAACCCACATGGGGTCACTGCTCACATCGTTTAGTATATAAGGGTTTTTCTTCTTCTTGCTCCAAGATATTCATGAATTGTTATGTAGCAATTTAGATGGAAAGCTCCGATTGTTTTCTTCAAAGATTAAAAAGTTCATGAAACACATCCATAAGTTGCCACATGAAATAGGCAAGATCCCTAAACTGTTACTTAAAGTCGCTTGCATGAGTTACGCCGTATGTTCTTCATGCTGTTTAGTCTCTGCTTTGCTAAAGCGAGCTTTCTTCTGATTTCTTTTGTACAGCCGCCATTTTGTTCACTGTTGAGCCTAAATATTGAAATCTGGGATATTTTCAAAATCTTTTTAATACGTGGTTGGTGTTGGTGCAAATGTGTATGCAGCCTGTTGGTTCCTTGCATCTCAAGCAGATACACTCCGACTTTGAAGGAAACACCAGTAATTATTTGCATCATATTACATATTTATTTGGAGCACTGGGTCTGAATTTTGTTTTCCCGCACGGGAAAGACAACCAAATAATTTAACTTAATTGTGTATATGCGGTGAGGTCCCCAGCTTGCACACAATATTTAACCATTCTCTTGTGTTATACCCTCAGGTGGCACAAACACGCCTGGATACAAGACTGAGAAGACCAAATGTAGAATTGTGCAGAGATTCCGTGCACAACAGACTAGTGCAGGAAGTTGGTGAACTCACCGACACCGTGGATCACCTCCAGCACAAACTGAGAGAAGCAGAAAATGCCCTCCAGGCTCTGCTGAGAACAAAGGGCGCTCTGGAACAAGACTTGTCCATTAAGAACAACACTTTGTTTATCGATAGAGAAAAGTGTTTGGCCATGAGAAAAACGTTTCCCATAGCCCCACGTTTGGTCGCTGTGGCTTAAAAACCACACTGTAGAGCGATCTAAGCGCTTTTTTTCCCCATTTCTGGGTAATTATTTCTACAGATAGAATTAACTATTTCTGGTAATGGGGTACAAGTTTTGTAATCAGCCATTTCTAGTAATTCTAGACCATTCTATGTAAAAAGCAAAACACACGTTTTATTGACGATCTGTTTTAATATATTCTAGCTTTATGGAATGTTAACATAACACACCCTTGGCCCGTTAGGGTTGTGTATGTGTATTAATGAAAGTACTAGCACATCAAACCCGCCATCTTTTCTTCCGCTTGATGAATAAGTATGTGATAAATTAGTCCTGTCCATTTCTTGATGTTTCAATTCCAGGTTCTCCTTTGCCCTCCTCTTTTTTGACCAACCCCCCATTGTTCCTTGAAGCACAATCTCTAATCAAATCATGTCTCACCACCTGCCCAAACCAAGCTAGCTTGTGACGTTTCACCACTGCCAAAAGAGGCTCCTGATATGCAGCATAATTGTATATTTTGTCTCTGACATATTTGTTCGTTTTGTGTTCTAAAAAACTAATTCGTAAAATGCGTCCATAACATTCACAATCGAAAGCCTGAATCCTCCTTATGTTACCCACATTCAGTCATGTGATTTCTATTCATATTATAGCTAATTGTCGTACCTTATTTCTCAAAATGAAACAAAACAATTTTGAAGTGTAACCGGGACGTCGTCTGTCGCCTGATCACTGAATCCAGGATTATAGCATACTGTGGTCAACATTCTTAACTCTTATAATCCCAAGTAAAGTAAAGTAAAGTAAAGTAAAGTAGTAAGTAAGGGACCCTTTTACACGCCTTTAGGCGTATAGGGCACATAGAGCTCAGACCTATATTTTATAGACCAATCGGCACAAGATTGGTGATGTAGTCAGCATCACGCCAGCCGCCTTTACTTCCCGGGACTGCACCCAGTACCCACTCAAGGCTGAGTCGAACTTGGAGCCAAGGTCATTCTTGAAAAAAGTCCCGCTCCGCCAAGGAGCGAACCAACCACCTTCTGATCCACAGGCTCCGCCACGGCGACTTCCCTATAATCCCAAGCAGTTTTTATTTTTATTTTGGCACTGACCATCACAAAGCTTATGTTTGTGTCATGTAGCAGGTCCTTCGCTGAACGTCGCTCTTATCACAGTCTGCCTGAAAGAAACGCCCGCCTTGGGTAATTTCTTACTCAAGGAGTCACCTATATCATGTGCCCATCTTCATGTTGGTCGGCTCCTGTCCCTCCTTCCTGATACCATGCCTTCTGCTATTATTATTTTTATATTTCAGCTTCCGAGACAAGATGCTGTTTGTTAGCCAGTTTTCCTTGATGTCTTTTAAAATATATATTTCTTCTCTTCTTTGTCCAAGATATTCTGAGAATCTTTCTGTAACATTTCAGCTCAAAAGACCCTATTTTCTTTCTTAAGCACTGTGAGATAGTCCTATTTAGCTAATGTACTGTAGAATTATAATCTGTGTACCCTAACGAGTTAAAAATAAGGCAACAGCAGAACCACAGCAACAACTGAGACAGAAGAGGCTCACGCAACAAACGAATGGGAAAGAAATTTAGAAATCAATTTATTCTCTTTTTCTTCGCATTCACCGGCTGTAAACTCCGGCGGAAAGTTCTGGTTGTTCGTCCGCCTCTAGACATTAGTTTTGCTCCAGAATCTTAGTGTTGCGTGCACATCCGATTCACAGATCTGAATTACTTGTTTGCAGATTGTTGGTTACTTGCCTCTCAGGCAGATGCGCTCCGACCTCGAAGAAAGCATCCCAATTAGACGACTTTTACGACATGCTTGTTAGGGAGGCAGTGGATCTATTCTTGTTTTCCCCCACAATGGGGCCTCGGACCCCCCCCCCCCCCCCCCTTTCCCAGGGAAAATCCCCGTCTAATGAGGAAACACCTATTAAACTCACGGCGCCTTTCCTGGGACTGAAAGAGTATTTAATTACTGAGTGCAAAAGAAACTTTGGTCTTCTCTACCAAGTATACCTGCAGTAGCGGATTGGCTAGACGCTTGCCTGCTGGCCGGGCGGTCTTGGGTTCAAATCCACACTGAGGCACAATTTTATAACTGATCAGGGCTCCCAAGTTGTCCCATGCTAAACTGGGTACTAGGAAGTGTCATGAGAGAAAAGGTAGCCAGCGAGATGTTAACCCCATTCCCAATCAAGTACCGATTGGTGTAGACAAATGTATAGGTCTGGGAACATTTGTCTGATGCGCCTGTACATAAAAAGTGTTCTTTATATTTTATCTCAATAAGTATTGTTACCAACACAATCAATATCTTATTACATTTTCTATACTTTGAAATGCAGCACTTCCCTGTCCACTTCATAGACAAACAACGTACATCTAAACCACTTTATAGACACACAACGTAAATCTAAACCACTTCAGAGACACAAATGTACATCTAAACCACTTCCGAGACACACAATGTACATCTAAACCACTTCAGAGACACACAACGTACATCTAAACCACTTCAGAGACACACAACGTACATTAAACCACTTCAGAGACACACAGTGTACCTTTAAACCATTCAGAGAGACACAACGTACATCTAAACCACTTCGGAGACACACAACGTACATCTAAACCACTTCAGAGATACACAGTGTACTTTTAAACCACTTCAGAGACACACAACGTAATCTAAACCACTTCAGAGACACACAACGTATATCTAAACCACTTCAGAGACACACAACGTAAATCTAAACCACTTCAGAGACACACAACGTAAATCTAAACCACTTCAGAGACATACAACGTAAATCTAAACCACTTCAAAGACACAACGTAAATCTAAACCACTTCAGAGACACACAACGTAAATCTAAACCACTTCAGAGACACACAGCGTACATCTAAACCACTTAAGAGACACACAGTGTACATCTAAACCACTTCAGAGACACCACGTACATCTAAACTACTTCAGAGACACACAACGTACATCTAAACCACTTCATAGACACACAGTGTACCTTTAAACCACTCAGAGAGACACAACGTACATCTAAACCACTTCAGAGACAAACAACGTACATCTAAACCACTTCAGAGACACACAACGTACATCTAAACCACTTCAGAGACATACAACGTACACCTAAACCACTTCAGAGATACACATTGTACTTTTAAACCACTTCAGAGACACACACCGTACATCTAAACCACTTCAAAAGCGGTTTCAGAGGCCGATGTTTAATTTGTACTCCCATTGTACCTAGTAGTCGCTCCACTGTCCGTTTAATTTAGAACTCACATTGTACCTCTAAACGCTCCAGTGTCCATGTCTAATTTAGAAGTCCACATTGTACTCTAAGTCACCTCACTGTCCTAATTTAGAAGCTCAACTTTGTACCTACTGACTCCACTCCACTGTCCGTGTTTAATTTAGAACTCACATTGTACTTTCAAGTCATTCCACTATCCACGTCTAATTTAAAACTCACATTGTACCTCTAAGTCACTCCACTGTCCGTGTCTAATTTAGAAGTAAACATTGTACTTCTAAGTCACTCCACTGTCCATGTCTAATTTAGAAGCAAACATTGTACCTCTTAGTCACTGCACTGTCCATGTCTAATTTAGAAGCTAACATTGTACCTCTAAGTCACTCCACTGTCCGTGTTTAATTTAGAAGCAAACATTGTACCTCTAAGTCACTCCACTGTCCGTGTTTAATTTAGAAGCAAACATTGTACCTCTAAGTCACTCCACTGTCCGTGTCTAATTTAGAAGCTCACATTGTACCTCTAAGTCACTCCACTGTCCGTGTCTAATTTAGAAGCAAACATTGTACCTCTAAGTTACTCCACTGTCCGTGTTTAATTTAGAAGCAAACATTGTACCTTCAAGTCATTGAACTGTCCATGTTAATTTAGAAGCTCATGTTGTACCTTCAAGTCACCCCACTGTCCACGTCTAATTTAGAAGCAAACATTCTACCTCTAAGTCACTCCACTGTCCGTGTCTAATTTAGAAGCAAACATTGTACCTTCAAGTCATTGAACTGTCCATGTTAATTTAGAAGCTCATGTTGTACCTTCTAGTCACTCCACTGTCCGTGTCTAATTTAGAAGCAAACATTGTACCTCTAAGTCACTCCACTGTCCGTGTCTAATTTAGACGCAAACATTGTACCTTCAAGTCACTCCACTGTCCGTGTTTAATTTAGACGCAAACATTGTACCTCCAAGTCACTCCACTGTCCGTGTCTAATTTAGAAGCAAACATTGTACCTCTAAGTCACTCCACTGTCCGTGTCTAATTTAGACGCAAACATTGTACCTTCAAGTCACTCCACTGTCCGTGTTTAATTTAGAAGCTAACAAACAATCCAAACCAGATCTCAAACGACTTCTCCCCCTAAGCCAGTAAATGTATTACTAGCTTGTATTCAAATGTTGATCTGACATACAGGTCAGAGAAGGGCATTTTTAGGAGGGGTCGGGTTGGTTTTAAAGTAGGTCATACACTGGAAACAATATAACTATTGGTGTTAATTCAGCCCTTTAATTTTAGTAAAAGATGTATACCGACATGTATGTCGTGACATCTACTTGTAATTTATCAATATGGGTAACAGGTTACGAAATTATGGGGAAAGTACATGAAGAAAGACAATGATTCTAACACGTAAAACAGTCCAAAAAATGTAAACATACAAATAATGAACATGAAAGCATAAGATAAACATATATAAATGGTCAAATTATCGTCAACGAATAAAGTTGACCTAAAGTTCTTCTGGTTTGTTGTTTCGTATGCGAAATATGTGAGTGGTTGTAGTTATATTAAATATTGGGTTTACATTATGCCTGCCACCGCTCCCCTTTCCACCTCCCTTCCAGGATTGCAGTGTTTAGAATAAATATCTCAAGGACCTTCTTCTTCTTCTTCGCGTTCATCTGATGTAAACTCTGACGGAAAGTTCTGGCTGTTCGTCCA